TTAATTTTATCGTAAGCGAATGATTCTGCTCGCATGTAAACGCTTGACGCGATACGATGTCTGCCATGCTTCCTGTCTAGAACTTGACCTGGAACATGTTTTTTGACCTGATAGGTCAAGTCGTTAATTAACCAATCAAAATGCTGGATGATGCCAACGTGATCAAATTACCATAGCTCATTTAAATAAGGTATGAACGTAATGCGGAAGTGATTTGCCAATGTTTGCGATCTTTTGGCTTTGATTTTGGTGGGAAAAACGGCATAATTTCCTTTCAAATCAAGAAATTAGTTATTTTTGGAAAGTAAACTGAGCATTTAAAGAATAATTTAACACTGTTTACTGTGACAACAGCGCATTTGAAACAACATTTTCGCGTTGTTTTAATTTCGTTTTTATGGACTTACTGCGAAATTAAAAATCACGCGCATATTTTTCTACAGTAGACTAAAGAGACGTGTTTCAAGAGATTGTAGACCAATTTCTTAAAATTTGTTAGAAACAAAACCAATTTTTTTTACTTAAAAGCCATAACAGCGAGGGACTTCCGTGATCGCGTCCATCACTACTAACCGGTAGTCGATCCACTGGTGCCCAATTCACGCTCATTACGTGCCAAAATTTTAACTTTGTCTGGCGCTTAATTGAGGTGTAAAATACAAAGTTTTTGTGGCACTGGCGCCTAATTGAAGGTGGCGCTTAACTGAAGACAAATACGGTACCACAAAACTTAATTACCTTGTTTGCTTGGCAGCATTTTATCTGAGCCCAACGGTTCGAGCCAGCGAAAATCACACCCCCTTTTCAAATTATGTTCTGTCCCCCGTCAACCAACATCCATGTGTCAGCTTAGTAGTTGTCATTATTTCCGAAATGGTTTGTGAAAACAGCTTGCAGTGTACTCCCCAGAGCCTGACAAAAGAGTAGTAGCCCAGTCCCCATTATTTGATGTTGTTTCGAAAGTCAAGATGTAAACAATGATTGTTGCAAGCAGCTAACAAGTTTATTTTTCGGGATAAAGTATGACTCTAAAAGTAGATAGTGACATAGTTCAATGTTCTCCCCAGGAATTTAAACCACTGTGGCGGCCCAATTTGCATAGCATTTGCATAGCATTTACATAATAGAAATTGACCAAAGCATATTTACACCCACACAATAAACAACATATATTTTCAAAAACAAAGTGGCAGATATTTATTTTCTTCACACAGTGTTATAAACACTTTTATTTTGGGCACTTTTGTAATATTAATGAGCTCCGTCACAGTAACAATTTAGAAGAGTTTGAATTTAAAAATGAAATATTCTCGAAATGCAAATGCTGCAGACTAAAAAGAAACAAATAAATTGTAAAAGGTTAAATGAAACTCGTTTGAAACATTTCAGCCAGGATTATGTTCATAACTTTCATGATCTTATTTACTACAAAATTCTCCTTCAAAAAATCGTCCACGTAACTATTTGGTGGATTGCTGGTTATTATCCGACCATCAGCTTGCCTTCTACAACGTTTACATTCACAGTAATGAACGAACAAATAACACTTCCAAGCGATCATCAAAGTTACGACGTGACATAATTACTTCGCGATGTTATATACTGATTATACCAATAATTCCTTTTACTCAGTCATGATGCCATGCAAAAATTAAATTCTACTTTTTTAGCTCCGCTGTTGACTTTGTCGAGCGGAGCTTATCATATGAGTGATTGTCCGTCGTCGTCGTCCGTGTCAATGTTTTACTTTTTCGACTTCTTCTTGAAAACTACAAGCCTGAATGCTTTGATACTTGGTGTATATGTACCTTGGGTAGACCTCTCTTAGGTTTGTTCATTTCATGTTGATATCTTCAATTCTCTAATTTTGGTGAATATTTTTGGTAAAAAGTGATATTTTCGACTTCTTGTTAAAAACCGCAAGTGCAATTGCTTTG